ACATAGATATCAACTTAGATGATGACGACGAGATGCTAGAGTACGCACCGAATGATCCAAACGCTATTCCCACCGATGAGTCTGTGGTACCATTTTGGAGCGAGGGCTTCTGGCGACGAGTGCTACGAGCGCTTTAGCCGTTGGTAGATGCTGGGCTGCTACAATGGACACGTACGTGAAAGTCCTCGCGAGAGCCCCGAGTATGATGACCGTGAGGATCAAGTGCGTCAACGAAAAGGTCCACGCCAGACGGCTGATCGCCCGTCTCTTCTTTCCTACCGGCCACACCCCACCCCGGGAGGCCATATCATCTCCATGACAGTTGTTGAAGATATGCGTCGCTTGCTGTACGTGATGCCATTGTCTCGTCACTCTGTGTAGGATGAGCGCTAAAGCCTTGCAGTGAAGATACTATCCGACGTATTTTGCTTCGGCTTCGGATAGGCTGGTACTTCCAGCCCTATAACTTGTGAGCCTTCCTCTGTATCGAATCAGTACCTTCATTTCCTGACGTTGTCTTGTCAGCGCGCGGGCTCGAAGAAATGTTCTCAATAATTTTTCTTGGGCCCCCGGCGTCGGCATGACCGACGGCGAAGGCCCCGAGAGGATATGGAACACTACGGATCGCCCCACACGGGACATCCCAGCCGCCTCATGATCCTTTCTGTCTCAGAGTATCATATTACTCTCTTCGCCTCGCAAGTATATTACAATGACATCTTTCAGTACCTTATGACGTGAATCGAGCGCGCGAATAAGATGCAACTCGCGGTATGCAGCACTCGACTTTAGATGAGGTACCAAGTCCATCGCACACGAGTTGATGTCCCGAAGATCCTTGCGGTTTACGCATGTTGTGGAGAACAGCGTCACTTTGCTCGGCTATGCTCTTCCTCCTTACCACATTGCGTGTAGCAACCATATATCAGTATTGACGCCTGTCTCCGCCTGCTCCAACCTGAGGCTGATTGTGTGCCTAGTCGCTGGTTCTAGTCACGCTTCACGATGCCAACCTCATCTTCTCAGGCCATAGAGTCAGTCCAACACCCGGATGTGTGGTCATACGTGTGACGTTGTTGCAGGCAATACGCGGCATGCGACGTGCTGCTTGCGACTTCCATGGCCCTACTCCGCATCGCCAAACAGCAGCACCCTCAGGGAGAGTTCCGTCCGTCCTACTGCGATCCTCCGTGTCCACTCTGCTTCTCACAGGCCGAGGGCTCTCGTACTGAGGGCTCTCGTACTGAAGCTACAAACCCGTTAACGAGCACCCCTGTCAGCATCTTTACAGGCAATTTCGACGTGTCAAGTCTCCGTAACGAGGTAACGAGTCGCGACAATGATGAGGCTATTCTCAATGCTAAGAGCACTCGAGATGACAGCGGTGAGTGCAATGCCGTTTCACCTCCAGTAGCGAACTGATGGTTGATTGTTAGCTTGACAGACCCGTGCCATATTACTTGGGGACTGTCGTTGCTAGCGTTCTCATCATATCAGGAGTCGTTTTCTGGTTCCTAATGACCGCACGGCCAGCCCGAACCGCTGAACTTGATGAAGGCTGTGTAGCGTATCTGTTCGCTTCCCCACGATGATCTATTCCCGCTCCCCTGGCGGATCCAAAGTGAATACCTGCATTCCTCTGATACATTCGATGCGCAGAGCCGCTGATGGTGGGAGGCTCACGCTTCGCAGCTATATCTTCATACGGGCTTCTTTATTGCCCGCTGGTCATCTCTTAATATTCAATGCCGTCGGCGTATCTCTAGGTCAAGTAGTAGGATTTGAAGTATCAAACAACAAGACTATATACACAGCAAGAAGGCCGCAAGAGGACGAGAGACATGAGTTGGCTACGAGTACAGTTATTCTCCAAGCGAACGGCGAGCACGCTTGGAAGGTCCGGCTTCCGCGTCCAGATGCGATGCATCGCGCTTCTTCTCGTCGCCTGCAAGCGCTACAAGGGCCTGTATTGCACGAGTGGCAGGAGCCGCATCGTAGCCGTCACGGACGTTGAGTGCTTCGAGTACCGTACCAGTGAGATCGACGACTTGGTCATCGCTATCATCGTCGTCGCCGTCACTGTCGCTGTCGTCGTCGTCCGTGCGAGAGGGAGGGACTGCAGACACGATGTTCAAAACGGTCGTGAGTTCACGAGCAAGAGGTATGAAAAAATCAGCAAAATATTCGTCGCTGCTGTAGGCCTCCAGGAGAGCGCGCGCAACTGCCGTGAGGCCATGTGTGCCGTGCATCTTGGCCACCTCTGCGAGCGTCGAATGGCGAAGGGAATCGATGCAGCGGGCGACGGAGGCGCTGAAATCGGGCTCCTTCTTGATGACGTCGTGGAAGCTCGGGCCGAAGCGCGACTTGGACACTATGGTCCCCATCAGCGGCGATTGTGCAGGGGCCTTCACGGTCCCATCCTAGTGGTCATCCAGTGAGTGCATATTGACATGAGTGCAGAAAGAGCTAACCTTGAACTCGTTCCGAGTTTCCCAAGAGATGACGGCAGCCCAAAGTACAGCAACTTCGCGACAGACAGAATCGGGCCAGTCGGAAGACGCCCGTAGAGACGCTGCACCGAAGTTCAAAACACGGAACATCCAGCGCGGTGGAAAAGCCGTCGGCTCCTTGTATCCGCCGCTCTTCCTCGTGGATGCGACGGCCTTGTGAGGTTTGGCGGCCGACCTTGGAGACGCGTTCTGCGGCGAACCCGACTTCTTCCCGCGCGCCTCAATCAACGCCTTCAGCGGCGAACTCGACTTGTTCGCACGCGCCTCTAGGACGGCCCTGGGCGCACGGGGAGAGCCCACGAACATGAACGAGGCTTCTTCGTCCCCCGGCGCGGTGGCGTCGTCGTCAGAATCGGCTTGCAGGAAAGCATCGGAAGACTTCCTGTGGGACTGACCGTGCAGCGGGATAAGGTCACGGGCCACTCCATCATCGTCAATATCGATGATAGTAGTCGAGTCCTCGCGAAGCTTCGGCGTCCCGCGGTCGACGCTCGCGCGCTGGCGCGTATTTTCGCCGATAAGCTCGCGCTCGACATCGCCAGTGTCGTGAGCGTCTTCGTCATGGTCATTAGCGTTAGGTTCGATGGCCTTGTCCGCGGGAACACCGGGCACACCGGCCGTCGAAAGAACATCGCCCAGCGACGAGTCCCGGACAGGCGATGCAGGCGACGACGGAGATGGACAGAGAGGGGTAGGAGGTGAGAGGCCGGACGGGAAGTCGAACGACGTTTCGGCAGGTGCCGAGTCTTGAGAGGGTGAGAGTGCAGACCTAGTCGTTGAGTCGCTCGAGCTGACTGTAGTTGGAGCAGATGCCGACGGCGAAGTGGATGAAGGTGTGGGGTGCTGGAGGCGTTTTTTGTGTTGTGAGAGAAGCAACGTCGCGCGCTTGAGTTGCAAGTCGGCGAGACGCCTCTGCGCCTCGTGAGCACCGTTGACGGCCAAGGTAGCGCAATCGATCCGCCGCGAGAGAAGCGCGAGTTCAAGATCGTGCAGCACAAGATCACTCTGTGAATTTGCACCAGGTTAGATGGACAAAGACTTAGTACATACGCATGACACGTACATCTTGCAGCCGCTTCGACGCGCGTGCCATCTCCTGACTCATCTGCAACTCGACGCGGTCGGCTTGAAGAGTCGCGAGCTCTTGTATGGCAAGCGGTTCGTTGTTCGCCACGGTCTGTTCCACCGCGATCCGAGCGTCGCAAAGCTGGAGTTCGAGCTCCTCGAGTCGATCCTGAATGGTGGGATTCTATATGCGCAATCAGTACGTCGAAGCGCATGGCTGAGGGAGCGCATACCTTGGACATGGCGATACCGTTGTGGGAATGGGTGTCGTGGATGGAGGTGAACGAGTAGTTGAGAAGTCTAGCGTTATGCTTTTATGTGCTGAACTTGACCGCGTTGTGGGAATAGTAGAACCTGACCGCAATCAGGAATCAGATTATAGCGCCATAGTCGAGCAGGCGCAACGCCACATACCTAAATCGGTACGCAGATCGTCTCGTGATCTCCTCGCCGATTTGATACAGCTTGAAGAATCTCGAAGAGGTTATGCGCGGAAGAACAGCGGCCAGTACGATGAGGTTGTGGTAACCATCGTGGACAGTACGAGGGTGAACAGAGGAGCTGGTAGAGGAAGTGGACGTCGGATGGTTGTTGTTCGCAAGCTTGCGCCCACGGCTGAGTCTATCGCGACCATGTGACTTAATACGCGCGGAACTAAGACCGGCCTTCATCGATCATCCTTCGTCATCCCACCGAACTCAAAGCTACGATGGCTGCTCGTACATCCATCGATAAGTATCGGTATAAAGATCACATCCGATGGTGCACGAAGTTACTACAGCAGCCCTGTGTCAATGTAAGCCGATTAGCTATTCGATTGACGGCGCCAAGGGCACGCGTCCCGGACTGCTACTGTGAGAGAGTTCGTCTCATATCGAAAGCTGCTGATTCAACTTCAGCCACAGTGCGTATTGATATGTAGACCCAAGGCAAAACGGAGTAGAGCGGAAGGATAAGGTTGTACGTGAGGGATAATTGATCAAGGCTGGGTTAGTGATGGTTGTAACTGTCGGAGCGGCGGGCGCCTCCATGAATCAAGGAGAACTCGACGGCATCAACGTGGCAACGATCTCATTCTAGCGATCGTGCAGGCTGCAATAAGCTAATGCGCAGTGTGAACCAGTGGCGAACAGATGCAGACGTAGGAGAATACACACCTTACTTCGCCTTTCTCGGCTTTGCCCAGGCTCGGGGAGCCTGGTGCCTCATATGTCATGGCAGACGTGACGGTACTCTGCACATCGTTGACAATCCTCGACTGAAACTCAGATTGCAAGCCAAATGTAACCGTATTTGCTAGGTCGCGAAGTGCAACAATAGCCGTTGACGTGAGGGCGGTGCCACGAGGGGTGCCAAACGCCGAGCCAGGGGCCAGCCAGTCGTCCAGATGTATCTCCTCCAGGAGTTTACGAAAGAAGCTTGAGGCGGCAGGTTTGTGGAGGACGCGACGCTGAGCTGCTTCTGGAAAAAACTCGTGCCAGCGTAACGTGCCGAGAGCGGTTCGTCGGAGATAGCGCCTGTCCGGGTCTGGCCAAGTACCGCGCCAATAGCTCTCCTTTGCGCCCACGATCAATGTGAGTGCATTGCGGGTGGCAAGCTCTACAATCGGGTCCCGACTAGACTCATAAAGGCGACCTATCGTTTCAGTGTCGTCCGCGGATACGTGATGAAGCATGACGCTGTCGAAGCGTTGAAGTTCGGCAAACATCCCAAGGATGCAAGCTCTCGCTTCTGCATCCTTCGTCGAAGTGAGAGCCAAAAGTCGAATGAGTGTAGTTCGAAAACTCGAGAGCGTAGCGAGCAGGTTTGTGTCGTACTGTTGGAGTTCCTGCCGGCGAAGCTCGGCTAAGTGCTCGGCGAAAGTCGGGAACGCCCTGACGATCTCGGCAGTCATTCGCCATCGAGCATCTTCTCCAACCATGGCTCGCAGACCGCGATCATCGGCGTTCTCGGCCTGCAACACCAACTGAAGCAGCCGCAGCATGGCCGCCGCGGCGAATACAGAGTTGACGCATCCGAGAGCGACTCCTATCATCGACATTTGAGTTTCGTTGTAGCGAATCCCTACAAAGAGGGAATCAAGCTCGGGGGACCAGGAGCCTATGAAAGTCCCGACGACGTATTGGAGAGCGACAGGATGCTCCATGGCGTAATTTCCCACCCTGCTCCATATGAACTTGAATTTCTGTGCGCTCATGGCCGCTACGGTGTCCTCTGGGTCCCCCATTATAGCTCGAATAACATGCGGCGCAAAGGTAATGGACTCCGCTGTCTTCCGTCGTGTATGATATTCCTTGAGCGCACGCCACGTCCGAGACGCGGTGAATGGATCACACCAAAGCTGGGATATCAACGCGGCGGGGTTGAGGACTCGGCGCATCCCGGCGTTGAGAGGCCCTTGGAACACCTTGTACCATGCTAGGGCGAGGAGCAGGAAACAATACACCAAGGTTCCGGGTACGGCCACGACTATGATCATGACCGCCACGACGAGTAGATCCGTCAAGGGAGTGTGGTATGGGCAGGACGTGTCGAATAGCGGCATGCAGCTTGCGAATGCATAACACAGCGTGATGCCTACGGTGACGCCGAGGGCTACGTGAGCCAAAGTTGGGTGGAGGTCCCAGAGAAACACGTCGATTCCCGCCATAAAGAGGGCAACGGCTGCATGCAATAAGCCAACAACGAGCGTTGGAATACGTCCGAGACCGTATCGTTGCACCCCCATGTGCACAGATAAACGTTCAAGATATTGTTGCTCAATCTCGACGGCCTTTGGATGGGCTTGCGCTCTCATGAAACCCCTTGCCCACTCTTGCACCAAAGTCGCCAGAAGCGCACACGAGAGGGATACGAGGAGCGCAACGGTCCACAATGTGTTCACGACGATAGCTGAATGGGGGGCCACGAAGGTCGACGAAGCGTCATCTTCAAGTCCTTCGAGTCCATCAATTTAAACGTTCGTACTCAATGAAGCGTCCATAACTCACCATCTGGATCAGGCGAAAGCGACTTGTAGGTCTCAGCTAGAAGTGCTGCGAGCGTGGCGGCAAGAAGCCCGGCCTGAGAGTTTGCTAAGTCAGCTAGTAGACGAGAAATACGAGCAGGATACACACGAAAGTCATCACACCGTTCATAGATGTGGCAGATATATCCCCGAAGAGATCGCCCTCCTCTGTCACGACACTCTTATAATGCTCCCATATACCGCCTCCCAGCCTCTCGCTCTCCGTTTCATGGTGTGAACTTAGAACAGCCGACATTCGGCTTTTTGAGGAGTGGGGACTCGAATCAGAGCAAGGAGCCAAGTGAACAGTGTATTAGACGTTTTGAGGTGAGCGAGGTAGAATACAGTGACGATGTTCCTAGCGGTGGTGGTAAGAAACAAAGGAGCAGCCGCCTCTGACATCTATTGATTGTTTGTGGCGATACCATCAATGCGAGAACGAGGTTTGCACGTGGCGCGCTGCCCATACGTCACCGAGCCGGTTCTTTCCCCCGGAAAACGTTGGTTCCGTGCCGCCAAGACCCCATTAGCGTAGCGGGAGTTGTCGAACCCGACGCAATACTGTCACAGTACGATATCTCGTTGGCATTGCATGCTACGTTGTACATAAGCTGACAAACGTCATAGGGCTTGATCGTAGCATGTCGAGCGGTCAGGAGGTATTGAGGCAATGCTGCGTACTAGGGGCGGCGACGCAGGAGACGAAGGTTGCGGGTACCATGGACGCAACGTTCGCAACAAAGGGTGCGCTTCTTTGAGAATACATGAAACACGACCTCATGTATGGATGCACAGGATGCGCTGAGCCAGACGGCGATGCTGAACGGGTGTTGGTGTCGAGCCCCGAGTCCACCCTTCGCGAGATGGGGCCTGGATCTTCACAGGACACTCTCGCTGAAATGGTCCGGCGTTGGTCCTGGAATACTGCAAGGTGAGTTAGATAGAGTATGCGACTATGCAGCGCTCATGGGAATACGAATAAACTAATCTTTCAAATAGGATGCAAAGCAGGCTGCTCGCAGGCTGATAAGAGCGCGCCGTGCAGGCCATTCCTCGGCTTGATGCGGGCATTCTTACTGCCAAGCCGACGGGATACCGAGGGATGATTCATGTTCACGACAATAACTAGCGTTTATACTCTGGTACTGAACACTCATACAGTCCTGTAGTATATTTGAAGACCTGTACCCCACATATCACGCGC